AAATAGAAAATTTTGAATGTGATATGTCAATAGCAACAATATACTAATTAAAAAAAAAATACAAAAAATTACAAGATATTTTTTATTTTTAAAAAATTAAATACATAAAATGTGAATGTGAATAATATCTCTTATGACTTCTGCTACATAAATAATCTATTATTATTTCTGCGATATCTTCCATAGCTTCTGCTATATGAATGATATTTCCTATAACATTTGATTCTTTTCAATATAGCAATTCTAATAAGTTAAATTTATTCAAATTAAATCAGTAGATCAATGAAAAATCAAACTATAAAATCATGTTATATCATATAAAAATTAGTCTAACCAAATTTTTTATAGGGAAATATGATCTTATAGATTGATTTTTATTAATTTACTAATCTAATTTTAACAAAGTTTAATATAAAAATTTACATAAGTCTCTTAATTAGTATATTAATTAAATAATATTCTAATAAACCAATAGAATAAGTAAAGCATATATTAATATTTTATTTTAAAGTAAATAAATATTATATATTTTTAAATTAATTAATTTTATTATTAGTCAATTATAAAAAGTAGTTTACAAATATCTTTATAGAAATGGATTAGGTTATGTAACTTCAATTTTTTAGTTCAAATTATTCAGCTAGATTACTTTTCAAATTTTAATAAAAAAAGTTTATATATAAAAGTTATTATATAATTATTAAGTAATTTTATTAGTTAAAACTTTATTGTATTATTATTATCATTATGTATAATTTCTTTCTTATAACTAATTAGTTTTAATATTTTTTTGTTTACTAGTTACAAATTTTTTTCTTTTCTTCTTCATTTTTTATTTCTAACTAATATATTACATTCTTTATAATATGGGGCCTTTGCAATAGAAAGGGGGGAAACAGCCGGGAAAAATTAATTTTACTTTATATGCCAAATATGATTTTTATGCTGAAATATGTTCAAATTTAGCATTAACTCACTTTTGATTTTTTCGGCTGTTTCCCCCCTTTCTATTGCAAAGGCCCCATATGAAAAATACCTATCATAATTAATATGTTCTTTACATTCTAATCTAAATTAATAGAGAATAATTTTTTCATAGAATTATTTATACTATTAAAATCCTGTATATTTATAAAGCTAAATTATAAAAAGTATTAGCATATATATATTAAATTACATCTAAAAGAACATACCAAAAATTAGCTAATTATAGTTAATCAATAGCCTAATCCTCTCCCACTTGACCAAATTCTGATTGGTTAAAAATATATATATATTAATATATATATTTAATATATTTAAAAATATTATAATTATACAAATATTTTGCCATCCAATAATCCAATTTATATGAACAATTTTGTTTTATAGGATTTATTTAACTCTATCAAATAAAAAATATTCATTTAAATTGAATTACTAAATATTAAAATAATTGCAAAAAACATTTTAATATATGTTAAATAATAAAATTATGCAAATATTTTGCCATTCGGTAATATAATTTACATGAATTTTTTTGTTATATAAGCCTTTTTATACTCTATCAAATAAAAAAAATTTATTTAAATTAGATTACTAAGTACTAAAATAATTACAAAAAACTTTTTAATATATGTAAAAATAACAGATTTATGCAAATATTTTTCCATCTATTAATTCAATTTTTATAAATATTTTTTTGTTTTAAAGTCATTATTAAGCTTTATAAAATAAAAAATTCATTCAAATTGAACTACTAAATATTAAGATAATTGTAAAAATATTTTTAATAAATAAAATTTATTATAAAAAGTAAATCATTACTATAAAAGAAATATTGTGACATCTAATTACAGAATCTATCACCATCTTCTATCTAATCAGCTGATTCCTGACATATCACTTAACTCTTTTTTTTTTTTCTAAAGATAATTTTGATTTTAAATAAATTATATGCTATTATCAGCTAAAAATTCATTATTAAAAATTGATCTACAGAAGTTACTGGAATTAATTTTATGTTGATTACAAATTAGAAGATCTGTATAATTTCTGATTTACTTAATTTTTAATATATCTCTTATATTTCTTATAAGTCTGATATTTCTGATTTTACTTATTTTTATTATTTTCAATTTTTTTAATATTTTTATTATATTATTTATATTTATTATATTTTATATATTATATCTTATATATTAGCAATTATAGTTACAAATTTAGTTAGTTTATAGCATAGCAATTAGTTAGCTGTAAAAAATTAATTTTGTATAAATAGAATAGCTTTTTGCTCAAGTTTTAAATTAACTTAATTGCCAGTTTAAAACTTAATTGTTAATTTATAACTTTTTTGTAAGTTTTATAACTTCTGCAAGTTTCAGGTAATAAAGGAATCAACTTTAAAACATAATTACTTTTCTTTTATATGTATCTATCATCTAGAATTGATTATGAATTACTTTATTAACTTGCTTTTGAGTTTATCATTTAGAATAAATAAATTCTTTAAGTTTCTCTTAAGTCTTTAAACCTTTAAGTTCATAAAGTTAAGTGAAGTAATTCTAAGGCATTTTGGATGCCTATAAGACGTGAATTTCCCTAAGGTATTAAAGTTTCACAATAAGGAATTTACTTATCGCAGTAAAGTAACTTAGCAAAATATATGTAAAGAGAATTATTTTTGATGATAATACTATTTATCATATTCTTTATATTAAATCAAAGTACTAACATTTTTACATTAGATTTAAAGCCCATTTTTATTCTTAGATTTTTTTGTTTCATTTAATATTTTTTTGTAATTTTCTGATCATATAATTCTTCAAAATTTTATATTTTTTGCCATTTATTATTGGAATTAGATTAGAAAAATTATGAACTTTAAGCCAAGTTTTATGATTATATTTCATAAGTTTATATATATTGAATTCTAATAATTCACATTTTTTAAAATAATAATATGATTAATAATAATGATTGTAAAATTCTAAAAAATCAGCTTTATTTTGAATATATTATTTTTTGAATTAATTTCCATTATTAAAGAATTATCAATCAAATGAAGTGAATTTTTAATGTAATTATTTCTTCATCAGAAGCTATTTTAAAAGTATCAAAATGATTCTTCTTTTAATTCAAGTTTTTTAATTAAATTTTTCATTAATTTAATAATAGGATATAAATTAATTAATAATTGTTATGTTAATTATGATTTCTTTTTAGCTTTATTTCTAATATCTTTCATTGAATTACAATATTTCATAATTGTTTTATATTCTTTATTTATTTCTCTCTCATTAGTCTTATACATTATGTAATCTTAGATTTAAAATAGATATTATGCATTCTATAGGATTTTCCAAGAATTTTCTGGTAGTATTCATATTGCTACTAATAAATATAAATCTAATATAACAAATAAAGCAGTTAAACTTGTAAATGATCAGGACCATCATCAATATAAATTAATAAAAATGGATTTTGCTGTTTATTTTTACAAGTAAGTTATATAATTCTGAATATGTCTTATTGGACTAGATAGTTAAAAAATTGGATCTTTTAATCCTACATAAACTTTATCTTAATAAAAAGAAACCTTTATAGATACTAGTATATTATAAAACATCATAACACTAGGAATAATTTCACATTTTGTAAAATCATGATCACTAACAACAAAGAATTTATCACTTAAAACTTTTACTTGTTTTCCGCTTTCAATAGCAGCAACTGGATAACCTGATTCTCCAGCCTTACATCTATGTTTATCATCCATAAATACTAATCATGAATATTCTTTTAAAAATAATAACTAATTTTTTAAGATATTGAAATAATGTTGAAGCATAATGGTTATCAATATGATTACTTCTTAATTGTCTGCTTTATACTATATGTATTTAATTAACTAATCGAGTAACGCCCCACCCTCCCATCCTAACGAATCCAGGAGGTCCTTTAAAGAAGAAATTTTTTCATTTTTTTTCCTCTTTATTTATACTGCGGTAAACGTGTTTGGATATATGCCACGCAATGCCTTAACGAAAATTTTATTATGCCAGGATAAAAATCTAAGGGATGCGCAATGTAGATGTGAGAGAATACTATCATTAACGAAATGCTTAGTGCGAATTAACAGCTTTGAAACGAAACTCTTTCAAAAACAGAAAAAAAAATTACAGTTGTAACGAATGAAGAGTGATCCGGCGATGAAAAAAAGTTGTGAAAAATAACAAAATTAAGAAGTTCAGAACAAATTTTTTCTGATCCATCTACATCTAGCTCCGAAATGATTTTTGATGGCACCTCAAGCTAACTTGCATCTATGGAGTATGAATGCATTGTAAAAACCTTTCAGAAAAATGTATTCAAACCTCCATATTCGAGAAGGAAAAAGACTACACCTTGCAGAAGAAAATTATTGGAAAGGCTTAAACCTGTTTTAATATGAGACATTATTTGTTCAGGTGGTATGCATTATCCGTCATCCATATTTTTTATTAGTAAATTCACAATGCCATATCACATCCTTCGACCTGCTAACAATGTACAGTATGTAAAGACAGACATACATAGCTCTTCTAAAAGAAAATTCGAATTTCTAAAAAATAACCTAAATATATTAAAAAAAATGGTAAAAATCTAACATAGCGTTAGCTTTCCTAAGTCATTTCTTAGGCGTCGAAGTAACACTTTGAGTGTATGACGCATTGCACTTGTGTGATGCATTAAATATGTGGGAAAAAAGAACTAAATCGCTAGTTATATACAATAATTTTTTATTGATTTATTTCCAAAAATAAAAAAAAAAAAATTTTTTTTCAATTATTTTATATCGAGAAAAAAGTATTACTGAATGTATCAAGATTAAATCCTCATAAAACAATGTGAAAAAAAAAAAATCTACATAAAAAAATCTCACTACCATGAAACAGTAAAAAATATTAAAAATTACATTAAAATGTCTTTTAAATATTTTTAAGTAATAAAATTATCCCATCACGCTCAAGAATTCATAATTAGATGGTAATTTCTTGTGAATTAGTCCAATTACAGAAATATCCATTATTATTTAAATCTTCTTTTGTAGATAATTCATACGCGATAATTTCTTTAAGATGAGACATTAAATGTGGCCAATTATTTAGACATTCATCAATTGATTCTTCCCATAAATCATCGGGCATCATACGCCTTGGAGTGAGTAATATTTGAACGAAATGACTATATAATTTAGAATCTTCACAAGTCTGTTCGTGTTCTTCAACATTCGCCCTTAATTCATCAACAAAATCTTCGCTGTATTCTCGTTCTTGGTAACACTCTTCGCAATCTGAATCGATCAAATCATCGGTGATAAATTCACAATTATTAGCCTTACCAACCTTTTCTTGTGAATAATGCCCTAATCTCACTCGACATTCTTGTCTCAAGTAGACCTTCGCATCTGTAAAGAACTCTGGATATAAATTTTCAAAATTTGCCAATTTCTCGGGATAATTACGTATCTCTTTTATGTCCACCTCCTGAAATTTAATGATGTCATCATCTCTTGATTGTCTCCTACTATTACCCGTGGCTGTTGAGTTGATTGAGGGGGGATATCCATAATCGTCATCGATTTCCGATGTTTGATCTGGCGCAGTTTCATGGTAATGATTAATGCTCTCGTTGGGTTCAGTTTGATGATTATTATTACATATCAAATCTTCAAATATCGAAAGTAGAGGATTTGTCGGAACAATGAATTCACCAATGGTGGCGAACCATTCTTTATCAGGTACAATTTCAGATTTGGCGTAAAGAACCCTTAAGAACCTTTGCCACTCCTCTTCCGAACCACAAAATGATTGCTTAACCTTTTCAAAATGGTTTTTGTTGAGAGTTATTATTTCTTGTACTTTTCTATCACGATTATTAAAATCATGTAAGAAGTCCCTATCATCTTCGTCACTTATATCAAGAGCACTTAATGGAGACGCTAATGAATTAACCAAGGGATCACCATGATCTACATGAGTGAACCGAGAGAATTGGGGCAAAGCGGATATCTCATCGCCACTTTCATCCATATCCACGTCATCTTCATTCAAATTAATTTCATCATATTTTCCGTTATAATCTGGTGGAGGGGTGATGGGAAATCTAGAATACGACGAAGAATTGTGGTATAAATGATTTTCGATAGGTGGTGATAACGGTGATCTAGGGACTACAAGTTCATCTAATCTTGATAAAGTTTCTCTATCATCCCTTGTTTGAAAATCAGTATATGAAGCCATTTGACTGTTTGAATTAGAAAAAGTTGATTCCCAGAAATCAGCAGTTTATTAAATATTATATTAATTTTTGTGTGCGATTGGTAAAAAAAGAAAAAAGAAATTTTTTTTTTCTTTTTTAAAAAATGTATGTTAGAGTATTTATAGAGATATACGTGAGAAACTTTTTTATAAGTTGTACTACACACTTTTAAATATTTGTTTTGTCCCAGCTAGCTCAGATCGGCTAATAAGATCATGAGTGAATAATTATATCATTTTCAAAATCTGCTTCTTACTAATTATGACATAAGATCGGTTTTTTTCACGAAAAATTTCTTTGGGTAAACGAACATGGATTATGAATTTATATAAGTTACATCATTGTAGTGGTTGATCTCCGAATTTGGCTACTTTTAAAGGTTACACATACACCGTGCCACCAAATGATAAATACTCGATTGTGTAACGGAAAAATAATTGTGTTTATTACGCCGCCAACTATTCATATCCTAATTTTATTATTGATTCAAACACTGAAAATGAACGGGGTATGAATAAAAATTTGATTTCGTAATCAATGTTTAAGTGTACGCATCAGAATGGCTCAGTAGATGCACAAGGTTATACATTACCGTTTTTTTATCTACACAACTCCTTCAAACGCGACCAATTGTAACCTTTGTATATAATATTTTATCGAAAGAAAAACAAGGGTTTGTTAATCTATCAGCGTTGATCATCTGCAAGAGAAAGAGCTTCCAACAACCAATTGAATTCCATACAAGGAGTCGATGAGTATTCAGTGGAACAATTCACAAAATGCAAAAGTTTTTCGGTTTTCCTCTTTGTAGTACAAAGATGTGGAAATACTGAAATTGACAAATCAGATGATTATTAGTTGACCAGATGAGGAAAAAAAATTGTTGATAAAAAAAATATATATATTGATCTTTAACCTTATTTAATTAAGTTTATTCTTTTTAACTGTAAATAGCTATAAACAGAATAAATCAATAATTATTAAATTAAATTTATTTATTATTAAATGTAACCATATATTGAAATTAATTGTAAACTTTTAACCTACCTTGCCATTCTTCATTTTTAACCCAATAAGCCTTGTGGTTGAAAAATATGAACATTTTCATCCCAAGCACATGTAGCAATTTGACCTTCAATATACAAATTATAATCCACACCCACTACAAATTCAGAATGACCGTCATAAACGTTCACCAAAGGATTGTTTTGTCTTGAAATATCCCATATTCTCATAGTCATGTCATAGCTAACGCTAGCAATTATATTTCCATTATGAGGAGAACATTTTACCCTTCTTACAGCATATTCATGACCTTGTAAACACAATAATTCACGATCAGGTCTTCTTAAATCCCATAGTTTAATAGATTTATCAGATGATGCTGTTACTATGACATTTTCTTGGTATTTATTCCAATCCATTGAAAGTGTTTCAAAATTTGGATGTGCTTGTATGGTTTGTATTGAATGAGGAAGTTTTGTATCCCAAATTTTTACTGTATTATCTCCAGAAGCTGAACCAAATAAATCCGGATTATTAGGGGACCATATCGTATTATAAATGCAATTTGTATGTTCTATATTGAATGTGATCAATGATTGCGGTCTCTCCGGTGCCCACTATTTTTTATTTTTTTATAAAAAAGGGGAAAAAAGAATTAAATAAAACTAAACATAACCGTATTAAGAGCTCGTTGATTTTTATATTTACCAATTTGATTGAATGATCCCATGATCCACTAACAAAAGTGTCTTTTTTAATTAGATTCCACTCAACCGAAAATACCTCTCTACTATGCTCATGCCAATTTTGAATTGGAAATTCCTAAATTATCAAAATAAATAAATAAAATTAATATTAAACGATTATTATTTAAATGAAACTAATTCGTTTAATTATACTTAACGGCTAATTTGATATCCCATAATTTTATAGAACCATCACCACTTGCTGTTACTACTTGATTCTCATTAATTTCACTCCATGAACAATCAAATAATCCGTCTTGCGTATCATATCTAATTCAAATTAACTAATCAGTTAAAACATCATTATTATTTTTTTAAAAAAAAAAACGAAATTGTTATCGAATGATTATAATTTAGGTTATTACATTCTTTCAACCTCAACACCTTCAGGTCCAATCCCGGTATTTAAAATAAATAGTCTCCCGTTACCCACTAGCCCAAAATTTGCTGATGCAGCACATGCTATTTTATTCTCAATAAACGGACTGAATTGTAGCTAAATAGGAAAAATGTAACATAATAATTTTGAATATGAATTAAAAAAAAGGGTTGAAAACAAAATGGTTAAATAAATTACCGAATATCCATTATACCCTTGAGTTCGAAATTTCAGCATGTTGAGAAAAAATTTTCTTTTCCAACATATAAAATATAATATTTTTAAAAAAAAAAGTGTGGTTGATTCATGTTAAAAGGGTTTTATTTAGGCGAAATCGGTAGATAGATTAAGTCACGTGATATATGTGAGATGTTGAGATAATCGCATCGAATTACTTTTTATAATCCACGTGAGAAATTTTTGAGATTGAGCTACACAAATTCATTTAGTTATCAGGTGATGCCATTCCAATATGTAAAAATCAATTTTATATGCCAAATATGATTTTTAGGCCGAAATATGTTATTAACTCATTTTAGTTTTCCCTTTCTATTGCAAGGATCCCAATATGTAGATATATTCGCTTAATGTATTATTAATATTCATTTAGCAAAGAGCGTAATTAAAAATGAATTCCAAGAGATAGATGCTTGTTGTGTAAGCATGTGCATAACGCAAAAACATATTAAACTATATTTTGTTAGTTGATTTCGCCCCTGGTCTTTAACAAACCATTCTGGTCATACTTCAAAAGGTGCTATAGAACCTCAACTTTTACTAAAATTTCATTTTAATGTGACTTTTAAATTTTGTATTAATCAAATATTACATGATATATTTACTTACATGGTAAATCAACGGCCATAAATTAAAAATGAGATAAAAAAAGTTACATCATCCCTGATCCTATAGGTGACTTCAAAATAACGAAATTGTTTGCCTTAAAAGATTTTCTTTTCGAAAAGTAAATCCGTTTCAAAAGCTTTTTTTAAAAAAAATCCTACCGATCCCAAAATGATATAGAATTATAATTTTAAAAATGATCGATCAATTAATATGATGCCGATGTGATAACACACCTCATTAAAAATGTGCTCGAAAAAAATTATGTGGCGCAGAAGGCTCACAAACCAGTTCATTTTCTTTCTAAAATCAAACCTACATATCTAGACTATTAATATTTTAAAGTACAAGAATAACCCTTAATGAACTTTTCGTATGAGACTCTGAATAAATAATGGGTTGCTTATGAAAGAAAATGAGATACAAACAAGGAATTACAAGAATTTTCTTTCCAAATGTATCAAATCATACAAATTCACGTTAAAATTCTTAGAATGGGTAATGATAAAACATTAAGCATTAAAAATAATGATATTACAACCGTTGACCAGGTCAGGTCTTTTTCGAGCATATCATTCATCTGCAAGAGTCTAAAACACCTTACTTGGTAAATAAATAGACTAAAGGATTGTTAAATTTATTTTATAACTTTAACTGTTCTTATTATAAGGTAATTGGCAATCGTAAATACGATAATAATTTCGTGATTAATCATATTAAAAAACTTGATAAATCCGCATTACATTACATTGGTTGCACAAGGGGGTATGCATATTATTATTACATAATATCAATTCCTTTTTATGCTTACTGAACTTACTGAAAGCACCCACCATAATATCAAAAAAATTCCATTATGGTAAAGGCAAAGTTTCTCCTCTACAGCTTGTATAATAAATTGTATTAATTGATTGTGGAATTTTTTTTTTCATCTTTTCAATTTCGTTCTTGTTTTCTTTGAATAAATAATAAACGATGTTAAATTCTTTATCAAATGATTTATCAAAATTAATCTTCGATGCTGAAGATTACGATTATAATGTCATTATTAAGGTTGGAAAGTCACCTAATATCTCTCGATTTAAAGCACATTCTTGTATATTACGTTCCAGGTCTCCTTATTTTTATTCGGCTTTATCTAAAAACTGGGCAAAGAAAGAAGGAGATGTTATCATTTTCGAAAAACAAAATATCACTTCTCATGTTTTTAAAATAATATTAAGGTACATAAAAAATGATGCTATTCTCACTTTTTATGTTTGACTCAATTAACAAATTCATTTGGACTTGCAGTTATATTTATTCGGGACAAATCTCTCTCGAACAAGAACACCCGAAAACTGTTTTGGATTTATTGTCAGCCGCTGATGAATTAATCATTCCCGAATTAATTAATTATGTACAAGTTTATCTTCTTGAAAATCATATTGAATGGATTAGAAAATATCCTCTTCAGATTCTGCATCATACAGCATTTCGTCTTGAGACTTGTAAAAAATTACAAGATGTTTGCTTAAAAGTAATTTGTACGAATCCGGAATTAATTTTTGGCACAATGGAGTTCACAAAGTTAGAAGAATCGATGCTGATCGCTATCCTTGAACGAGATGATCTTCAATTGGATGAAGTTGATTTATGGGATTATGTAATTCAATGGGGAATAGATCATACTTTTTCAGCTGACCGAATGCCAATTGATTATCAATGGTCTCAAAATGATCTTTTAGATTTAGACGAAACCTTAAAAAATTGCATCCCCCTTCTTAGATTTAATTATATAAAAAGTAAAGAATTACCATTTAAATTGAAACCTTTTGATATATTATTACCAAAACATGACTCGGAAAATATAAATTTATGTGAAAAAAATTATAATGAAGGTGAACTTCATGTGAAGACGAACGATAAACAAAACCTTAATTATTCCCCCATAGATTCAAATATTATCAAATTGAAACATGCATCGCTCATAGCTCATTGGATAGATAATCAAGATGACACGAACATTCGTGTGAGTAGGAATTATCCTACTTATGATTTCAAACTTCTTTTACGAGGTAGTCTGAATGGTTTTAGCGCGAGTAAATTTCATGATTTATGTGATGATAAAGGTGCCACAGTCGTTGTCATGAAGGTTTCCGATACGGGAGAGATTATTGGGGGATATAATCCTATTAGTTGGAAGGGTGGTTTTATAGGTTCTTGGGAGAATGCACGAGATAGTTTTATTTTTTCTTTGGGAGATGGTGAAAATAATTCAATAGATTCAACAAAGTTCTATAAAGTTAAACAGGAACATGCAAATATGGCTGTTTTTTGTGCTGATATACGCGGTCCTTGTTTCGGATGTCGTGATTTATGGATGTCTAATTTTAACAATTTGTCTATCAATTGTGATAGCGAAGTCAAGTATTACAGCGGTAAAATTTTGGAATCAAAGAAATTTAGTGTCGAAGATTATGAAGTTTTTCAAGTTGTTAAAAAAAATGAATAAAAAAATATTTATTGTAGCTCTTTTAGTTATTTCTTTGTACAATTTGTTTTGATTTAATATATAAATAAATTACTTTTTCTTTATCAAAATTAACTTCTCTACACTTCAAACACGTCCTTTTCCCATGATTATTAAAAAGGAGGAAAATAATAGACGTGAAATATACTTGTGGCAGACATTTGTATGATTGGTCAATTTTTATGTCGATTATTTCCTAATTATCAATAATTTTGATTGGCTCAAATTTTTTATTACGGGCCAAATTCGAAATGTCCATCTGTTATCACGTGATCCGCTAAACTTGTAATATTATTGGTCCGTACTCATTCACGTGACAACATATTACTTCGGAAGTACGAAAAGTTTAAATACTGTAGTTTATCATAAAGTTTAATATATGTATAGATAATACAAGACAAAATAAATTTCTATTGTGATACATTCCTATTGTGATATATTTATTTTGTACAGTAATACATTTCTCTTGTGATTCTTTCCCACTTATTACGTTATTAGCCGATCGATATCACAATGGAAAAATAGTCTGATTGTGATTAACTAACAATTCACATAAAAATTTTCTTGCTTTGCGTTTTGTAATTAAAAAAATTTTTCTTGACTATACATAATAAAAAGAATCATCATTCAACAATAAAACTTAATACTTACTTGTATCATATATAATGTTCCGTTATTGTTAGATTTCATTAAAAGGAACTCAAATTTGCCAACATGCCACGTCTGATAAGATGTCAAAACAATCAAGAAAGGCTTACAAAATTGGTAATTATGATATATCTGCTTATGATGATTCTGCTCATGATGATTTTGAAAGATATGACGATGATCTGAAAGATTATTTTGAAGTTGACAATGGTTCTTCCCATTGTAACTATGTTAATGACGAACTAGTGGAAAATGATAATGCTGCAAGCATTATAGAAAAACTTCATGAAGCAACGAAAATGTATCACCAGGAACATGCTTTTCGAGAAGTATGTAGGTTACGTTATATAGGAAACTCGAGTCGCACTAAAAGAAGAAGGAATCAACAGCAGCGTAAAGCAGCAAAGGGAACTCCTACGTTACACACCTTTTGGGATACCAAGAAACCTTATGAAAAAATTGATGAAAAGCTGGCTAATGAGACTAATATAGAAGAATCAGATAATGATGAGATTGAAGATTACGATTGGTATAATAAAAAAGGTTAATAGTGAGGTTTGGATACGTCTAAATAATATTCAACTTTACCTTCAACTTATAAAATCCAACTATTTAAAAATAGACACAAGTGAAATTGTTGCTAATGCAGTAAGAAAAGGAATATATCACGCCAGATGCATTCGTTTTTGGGCAAATGATTATATAATGATCCATAAAATTCCTTACTCTCATCGAGGACATTGTTAGCTTAAACGGTTCGTCGTTAAGTTAACTAAGATTATTTGCTAACAGGGAGTTTAAATTCGTCTAAACTATGGAAGAAATAAACACGAATTAATTATATTGAAAGGTCAGGTCGTCTTTATCGATATAGATTTAAAGAAGTATGAAATTGTATATTGAGCAAAGATATAATTGTTAAGAGA